TGGAGTACCTACACATGCTCGGGATCATCTACCGAGACCTCAAACCCGAAAACGTTTTAGTTCGTGAAGACGGTCACATAATGCTTTCCGACTTCGATCTCTCTTTACGATGCGCCGTGAACCCAAAACTAGTCCGATCAGCTAACCCAACCGTGGACCCCAAGAACTCCAACTACTGCATCCAACCATCTTGCGTGGTTCAACCCGCGTGCATCCAACCCTCATGTTTCGTCCCCCGATTCATGTCCAAATCCAAAAAAGACAAAAAACCCAAACCCAAATCCAAACCCAAAACCGAAATCTACAATCAAGTCTCACCACTCCCTGAGCTCATCGCGGAGCCCACAAGCGCCCGCTCCATGTCATTCGTCGGGACCCACGAATACTTAGCCCCGGAAATCATTAAAGGCGAAGGACACGGAAGCGCGGTTGACTGGTGGACTTTTGGAATTTTTTTGTATGAACTTTTATACGGGAAAACACCGTTTAAAGGGAACGGAAACCGGGCTACGTTATTTAATGTAGTGGGGCAACCGTTGAGGTTTCCGGATACTCCAGGGGTTAGTTTTGCAGCTAGGGATTTGATCAGGGGGTTATTGGTAAAAGAGCCGCAGCATAGATTGGCTTATAGAAGAGGGGCTACTGAGATTAAACAACATCCGTTTTTTCAAAGTGTGAATTGGGCTTTGATCCGGTGTGCTACACCGCCGGATGTTCCTGGGCCGTCGATGGAAAATGGAGGGGTGGATGTGAAGCCTTCGGGGAATTACTTAGAAATTGATTTCTTTTGAATGGGGATTAATGGATTGTATTATGGAATTTGTTTTTATTGGGTTATGTTTATTGTGGTGTAATTCGCTGCAAATGCAGATTTGTTCGTAATTGTATTTTTTAGTTGGAATAATTTGTTAACGGAAAAAGGGTGGTATATTATTGGGAAACATGCTAAAATGTAATCGGGTTCGGTTGCCACATCAACATTTTATTTTCCATACCAAAATATCTTCTAATTCCAACTATATATGGAAGTATCATTATACAACGTTTATGGAATATAATTTAAAACATTACGGAAAAATAGTTTTCATTTTCTGTTATTTGTTTTCCCTTTTCAGTTTTCGTTTTCCTTTTTCATTTTTCATTGAAAAATTTAGAAAACGCTTTTAGTTAAAACTTACTTATTTTTCGTTTTCAGTTTTAGAAAATTAAAAAACATGTTTAGATGTGTATTTTTATATCGGTTTTCGTTTTAAAAAAACGGTAGCAATGGTAGGGTGTTGGTGGGGGCGGTTACGGTAGCAGGTTGGTAGCGGCGGTGGTGATGACAATGGTGGTGGCAGCGGTAATTGTGTCAGTGGTGGTGACGGTGGTGGTGGTGGTGCTATTGATGGGTTAGTGGTGGTGGTGATGGTAGGTGGTGGGTATGTGTGTATGTGTTTGTGGGTGGGTGGGTGGGTATGTATGTATGTATGTGTGTTTATGGGTTGCAGGGTTGGTGTGTGTGTGTGTATTTGTGGGTTGGGGTGTGTGTGGGGGTGGAAGGTGGGGTGTTAAAGTGGGGATAGGTAGAGGTGGATGGGATGAGAGTGGGTGTATGTTTATATTTTAGAAAAAATTTGGAATTAGAAAAATGTGAAAAACAATGATTATCAGTTTTCAAAATTTTTTCAACTTCTTTGTAATTTTAGAAAACCAAAAATTTTCATTTTCGGTGAAAAATTTAGAAAAATAGATGAACTAAACGCGTTTTCAAAATTCTCATTTTTCTTGGAAATTTTTTTCAAAAAACGATCCATTTTTCCGCAACTAAACGCAACCTGAAAGTTTTCTCCACTAAACAGTTCAATATGTATTAAACTCCAAATCCACTGCATATCAACTTAATCATTGGTTGGGTATAATTTGTTAATATTAACTAGACATTTTAGTGCGTCCAACCATTTTATTAAATTATATAATCCAGATGCTTATGGTAAATGCTAACGTGATAAAAACAACCCAAAATCCCATTTATTCCGCAAAATGTGATAGAAAAGGTGTATGTTATTATAATACTTTATTGTTTATATCATTATTATAGATTTTATTCCTGTTGTTATACATTTGTTTTCCACTAAAAATTGGTTTTTCTAACTTTGTTCCGGAGTTTGTTGATGTGTACGTCTTAAAAGAATGATAATGATAAGGGAAAATGAGCTATCGAAGTAACAAAGTTGTTTAAAATATTTAGGGGTTATTTGTAGTGTTTTGATTGAAAAATTAAGAAGAAGACTTTTAATTTTTCAGATTCAAAAAAAGACTCATGATTTTTCAGGTTCAAACTGTTTGATGGCATTTATATTTATGTCTTTTAATTTACAAGATGCATCTTAATTTTTCAATGTAAATACGTGTCTGAAAAAAATAAATAAAAAAGAACTTGTTTTCCCTCTTTTGCCCTAATACTTTAGCACATTTCCTTATCTTTCTTCTTCACAAACGTCGATCCTCTTGCTCCCTCCCACTGAATCATCAATCAATTGGTTGTTGTAGCATGTAACTCTATCTCATTCGTTGGGTGCAATATTCAGAAGATAAGCTAACAAGAGCACATGTTTTGGGCTTGAATGCAATTCAAACTTATGTTCTAAGGAATGGGAACGAATCAAAAGAGGGTCAATTGGATTTCAATGCTACAGCGGATATACTTTCATTTCTTGAATTGTGTCAAAAGTTAGATTTGCTTCAAATTACTTTTGTGAGATTTTATTTGGATTTTAGAATGTTTTCGGTATTTGAAAATATTTATGTTTGATTTGGATTTATGTTTGTGTTTAATTTGGATTGTATATGAATTTTATGTTTTTTTTTTTTATTTTTTATTTTTTTATTTTCATAATTACTCAAGAAGTTGGTTTAGTTATTTATAAAAAAAGAAACATTGAATTCAACAAAAAAAATATATAGAAGGGTAAAATGATCGTTTTTATCATTCAACACAAAATTTTATATGTTCCAACCGAACATAATGTTAAAAATTCAAAGTATTTTAGAAATCCAGACCTCTTAAAAATTTAAGTTATATCAAACAAATCTCTTAGAGTTGTAATTGTTGGAATATGGTGCCCAATCACAACAATTCTCTTACTTAGAGTTGTAATTGTTGTAATATTAATGATAGAGTCTTTTTGGGTTACACGCAATGATATAAATAAGCAACTAATGACATAAAAATAATTATATGCTCACATTTGTTAATTAATTAAGTCTTTAACTAATTAAATGAAATACAGAGATCTAGAAGGTTCTAAATAAAGGAATTTGAAAGTTACATAATTACCAAAGATAAGGATAATTATTATGTGACTAGATAATTATCCTTTAAGGGTTTAAATCATTCTATATAAATAGAGGGATCCTAGGCCGAATATGAGGATGAGTTTCTCACTAGAAAAACACTAGAAATCAGAAGTTCCCTCACATTCTCGAAACCTTATTTTTCCTCTCCTAAGTGGCGTATACATGGCTATTCAAGATTATGGTTTATGGCGTTGAACTTGTTCGTCCATGGGGTGAAGTCAGATGTGTTGGTCTAATCCTTGAGTGCGATTACGAAATAAGAACTATCCGTTGGGTTCTTAAAACTCATCATTAAATCAAGATCTGCAAAGGTTTCAAAGATTTCAAAAGGTATGTATTATAGTTTCTTTCTCTTTTAGTTTAAGTTGCAACTAACTGGATGAACATGGATCCTTATCTGGCTTATGAGGTTAATGTTTTAGTTGCTTCCATTGTGTGCCTTTGTGGCCTTTTAGACACCTCATAACCCAACAATGGTATAATAGTTGAATGTTCACATTTGTTGCTCTTTTGATTTCTATTCTTTTTTTGTTTAATCAAGTATGTATATTCAGATCATATCCGATCTTTAAAGTTTTAAATTAGTTTTAAACGTTTTAAGATGGAACTGAAAAAAATTGTCAAGTCACACGTATGGGGGTAAAAACCCGAACCCTAATATTTTTATCTGGAAATCATGGTTTTCGGCTAGTACGTGGTGCGTAGGTCCTCCTACACGGCGCATAGCCTTTTTTCTTGAAAATACTCTTCTTCTACTTCGAGTGTGTTTGTTCCTTACACATCTAGCTCGATTTTGAAATCATGCAATTTGTCATTTTTTACAGAAGTTGAAAATCAACGTGTATATTGGTTTAGTTAGTTGATTAAATGTTAACTTAATTAATTAAAAGTCAGAATAAAACCTTATTGATTGAATGCGTTAAATTAATTATTAACATTACGTTCGTTCTCACATGTCCAATTAGAATTAATGGACATAATTTGAATGGTTTATATTCTCTTATATATGGTGTGTGTGTGTGTGTATATATATATATATATATATATATATATATTATATATATATATATATATATATGAGATAAACTACAAACATTTCATCCTTGCATGTTTGAAAGAATTATTAGTCTTACTGGGCTAGGCTCACCTACGGTGAATGCTATAAAGAGGTTTAAGGAGGTTTCTTTGATTCTAAATGTGGTCAATTTTTAAAAGCTTAATGCTTACCACCACTACCGCCTTCTTGTGTTTGGATTAGAGTTACAAAAAGGATTTGATAGGACGATGTATCAAGTTAGAAGTATTAACTTAATGTATTAAAAAAAATCTTGTTTTAAAATAAATAAAAATGTGAATTATATACTACCCATGAAAACACACTTTTTCATTATATTCTGTTTATGGAGCGTGTGTCGTTTATCGACCCATTAGAATGAGAATATAGTTTGAAAATAATGTGGCACTCACGAGAAATAATATGTTGACAAAGCGTGTGTGGTTTATCGATACGTCAATATGAGACTAATTTGAGTCAAGCATTAAACGTGTTTTTTTGCATGGTTGATTTAATTTGGATTCATGATCCTCGCCTAATCCAGTCATGAATGCTAGACAAGCGCAGAAACTAGTAGTATGCTGTTACCATATGTCCATAATTCTTGAAAGATATACGAGTTTCATAGAAATTGAAACTGGCGAATAATTGTCTACCTAAATAGCTTTTTATGTGATTTTTGGCTAATCTAGTTTGCATCATGGAGTGAAATATGGATCCTATCCTTATTTGAAATAATTTTTATAGTTGGAGAATTATTCTTTAATGATGAACAAAACAAACTAGGATGGAACTTTATATTAACTGATGTCTATAATCAAATTTTATCCACTAAAATTTAACTGCTATAAAAACTCTGAAGGATGAGCTAAAAGGAATGATCAATCTTCTATAAATTTGTAGTTTGAGAATATTTCTCATGAAAAAAAAGAAGATCGTACCTTTGGCAAATATCTTCTTGAGGTTCCTCCAACTATTGTTTCTTTAGTTGTAGGAAGGAGAAAGTTTGAAGTGTACCTTGTACATTGATAAGATTGAAGCAACACAAAATTACATCATGTTGGGAATTAACTATGGTGACATAACCAAATAGTTAAATTATGCATATAATTAGGTGATTTTGATTTTAATATGAACAACTTGGAAAGATCCATCCTGGAGCTATATTGCACGTTGAGGACCCTTTGGAACTAACATGGCTAAGCATAGAAACTCAATGCTTCAAATGCTCCTATATTTACTATCATAAATAAAGTGTTAACAAGAAGAAACAAAAATTTCCATAGGAAAAAGGTGGTTAGAGTTGGTATACCCAACTCCAATACCAAATTCTAAGGACAAAATGAAGGCCTATTCTCAGATTTATTTTGATAAGCTATTCGATTCCAAGACTAAGAA